TTAATATTCATAAGTCTCTGTGCCTTCTCTGCTAATATGAATATGTGTTTTTAGTCCACAACGCCTAACTGACAGAACACATCGGCATGAATAAATGAGGAAATCACTGCAGAATGGGGTTAAATTTTAGAAACAGATTTCAGTAATTAGCCTCTCGCGGGCTGCACTGAGCGATTGTGTTAACAGCTTCATATGTTCCCACTCAGACAGGAAATAAAACATGATGTGTCCATCCCGCACCCCGCTGAAGCATGTGTGCCATGCTAAATATAAGCTAGAATTCAAGATGTCAATAAACAGATGTGGAATCCATTATAAACGTCATTGTGTGATTATATGTGCTCCAAATGTCATAACCATGCACTTTGTGTGAAAGCACATTGTGTGTGTGAAGACAGTTAAACACAGCAGCTACTATTAACTACTTACAACACACATCTTTTGTCTGTAAATCGGCTCTTAAAGGTGAAGTTTGTACGTTTTGTCAAAATACATTCTGTGAACCCAGTATATTGTTCATTGACTACGGTAAGTACACTAATAAAAGTGTAAAATTTGAGCCTTTGAGGCACAATCAAAACATTTAGAGTGGTCCTCAGAACTGTCAATCATTCCAGCTCAACAAATAGCGGGGGTTTGGGGCGTGGCTACTGTAGCAGGCTGAGCCAGAGGGTGTTTAGATGTTGAGACCATTGCTGTTACATGGGAAAAGAAAATTAGAAAAGAATTAGAAGACAAAATTAGAAGTATTGCCAAAATACGCAGAGACCGACAACAGGGTAAAACATAAACAGTGGCCATGCTTTTGCAAGATGGAGGAATTTGATGGAATGTTTAGGTTTCAATGAAAATGCTGAACTTGAACAGGTAACAACACTTAACTTTTTGCCACACGTTTATTTATGTTTATTCACTTCATAGCCTTGTTCAAACTGTCGGTCCAAATCCGATTTTTGTGCATATCTGATTGGAATCTGATCATAGTTAGCAAGTCTAAACGGCAAAATATTACATGAAATCTGATTTTTTACAAAACCGTTTCAAGCTACATTCATACTGTACTGTATTCAAATCTTATTTCTGGAAATTAGTTTCAATCTGACCGCTCAGGTTGGATTTTGTGTCGCTTTTTCACATTCTCAAGCCACATAAAACAAACACGTCAGACATTGTTTGTAGAAAACATGCTGAACGTCTTTACAGAAACAAGGGTGTGTTGTTGCAAAGTGTAAGTCAAGCAGAATATGACTATATACCGCTGGTCTACCCACCTTTTTTAAGTTTTGAGACCGGTGGGGACAGCGTCAAGGAATAAAGCTGCACATTCCAGCTTTCTATAACTAACCGTGTCCATTCTAGCTTTCTGGGCCTTGATTGGGATAGTTGCGTTGCTGTCTATGGAGGGTCAGAAAAGCTCTCGGATTTCATAAAAAATATCTTAATTTGTGTTCCAAATGTGAACAAAGGTCTTATGGGTTTGGAACGACATGAGGGTGAGCAATTAATGACAAAATGTTCATTTTTGGGTGAACTAACCCTTTATTATTAGAATTGTGTATACATGATGTCACTGTGTGATTATGTAAACAAACTGGCAAAGAACCAGTTCACTGAAACGAACTGTCCGAAAGAACCAGTTTACAGAAAAGAATCAGACTTCTTATCACTACTAGTAGTGCTGAAACTGCACACTTTAAAATCAAATTAACCTATTTTTATATTTCTGTCATAGTAATCAAAACAGTTTCAATTACTACTTGTCAACGAAAATTCTCAGACTTAAAATTTTCACATGGCCGACAAAAAAATAAGATAAAATTTTAGAAGACACCTTAGTTACTGCCTTAGCAAAGACTAGAAACGTTTTCAGGCCAAATCTTACCCCATGACGGTGAGTTTTACACAGGCAAATACCACTAAAACTTCCTTCAGAAAATGTCAAATCTAATGTATTTGCTAAAACATTGCAGCACTTTAGAAACGTGAAGACATTTCTGTGTTAGACTGTCAGTCGCTAATGCTTGTTTTCACAAGGCGGTAAGTATTAGCTGTTTTATAGGCCGTGTAACTCTAAGTCACTGTAATTGAAGCCACGGTTGAATGTTTCTCTATGGAGTTGTAAAAGACTGTGCACGGCACACGCTACTCGACACGGCTGCCATTACTGTACAGAATCACAAACCCAAATGATCTTTGAAAGAATCGAAAGCAAACTAAATGTAATGTATAACTTTTGCAAAAAAGCTACAACTTTAATAACGCAAAACTGTAGGAGGAACAACATTCACAACATGTCAAGAGCGCAGCAGGAGAGCGCTGACTGTCTTTAAAATCATCCAGGGATTAAACAGAGCCAAATGCAAAATTTAAGTAAATTAAAGAATCATCTCCATTTCAGATTACTGTCAAAGCCATCTGCTCACTCATAAACAAACACTATGAGCGTGTTTATAGCGACACTAGTATGTGTCTAACTGCTGTTGGCTTAGGAATGCAAGATGAGGGTTGGTGTGTAATCTCGATGTGCAACACGACTCTTGTATGATGCATTCTGGGTAGTGGAAGTACAGGCGTGCTAATTGGCTTGATGCCGCTTTGGATTTGTTGGTTCAGATTCGGAACGCTACACGGAATTGAGGTGGACGGATCGGAAAGCAGCAGACGTGTGTGTTTTAGATCAGAGTGGAGTGAGGGAGAGTATGACACTCCAGAGAACGGTCTCAAAATGTGGGTTCAGTGTCCACAAAACCACATGTGAGGGTTTTATTTATTTGATGATTGTGCGAGGTTGAATTTGCATGTTTAAAAGGATGAATTCTGTAGCGCATGTTTTTATGTGACTTTCAGCTAAAATATGTAGTTTAAAAAAATCTCACTAATATATATATATATATATATATATATAAAATGTAGTTTATAACTCTATGCAATATAACCGATGTAATGTAGGGTTGTTATATATTATTTTATGTTTTTATTTATGTGTTTTTTATATACACACATTTTATATATTTTATACATTATATATTTGTTTATATTTAAAATAAATAAAATGTATAATCCTATTTACTATAATTAAAATAACGTATTAATAAAAATGCTATTTTAATGAAAATAATCTTCTGCAAATTCATGTGAGATGTTAATATTGTCAATGTAAGTTACATTTTACATCTGCTGGGTGAAAATTGTATCTGATTGTTTAGATTGTTATATGTTAGATATATTGAGACTGAATGCAAAATACATACAGCCAGCCAAAACCTCCATTATTATACACTTATCCCTAACAGAAACACAAATAATACAGAAAGCTTTAATCATTGCTTCACCGACGCCTTGCTTATGCAGTAAAATGCCTCGAATTGTGAAAACACTGAAAGACAAGTGAATCGAAAGATATCACGGCAGGCAGCCAAAACACGAAGCTCCAAAAATCAGACGCTCTATTGTTTTCATGTTGAAAGCAGCCCACAAATCCATACAAACAGCGCATCTGTCTTCAAAACCACACTCTGTCGCACGATAAACACAATATTTTCACCCCTAAATGGGAAGAAATGAAAATCACCAGTTTGTTCTGCTGCAAAGTTGAAAAACGAACCATGAATCACGCTCTCACATGTTTATGATTTGCCTTTTTCTTTTTTCAAGATGATGAAAAGCACCCGTGAAGACTTTACAACTAGATTAAATTGCTCCATAACACAACGGCTAATTAAGTCATTTTTCAAATTCAATAAGGAAGCAGATTGGAAAGCAGAGATGTGATGCGAGTTGCCTGGCAAAAACCCTCAATGAATACGTCCAAGCTGTTCGGCTGACGGCCCACGAGTTTGAATTTCTGGGAATTTCATCAGCGTTAAAGAGAGGGGAACAGTAAAACCCTTTCACATGACTCGCGATTTCAACGTCTCTCAACACAACTGTCGCGCCACTTTGACCGCCGCTTGAAAAGCGTTACAGTCACGGAAGGACGATTTTACGATGTAGCTATGTAGTGTAGACAGTAAATGGTGAAAATAGTATGAAAAACAAAGCAAATATTTTATCTAAAAACAAGATAATATCCTTGACTTTCATCCATTCTCGTGCTTTTTGCCCATTTTGCACGATTCAAATGATTACCAATGGATAAGATCAAGTCACAACTTGCACTTTTTCTCATTGAACATCCTATTTCACTCAGGAACATGTCATTATGGAAGTCAAATGGTTTGTGGATACAATTTCTCGTCGACTTTATAAGCTAGCAGTGACAAAATTAGAAGATAAAATCACAAAAAACTGATTTAAATGAAGGTTTCCATGCAAACGCTGGGATCTGCTGATCAATTGATAGTCAACGCTGGAAAAACAGGGGTCAGTCCTCACAGAGGAGGCACAGAAGCTCTATTTTATAGTTCAGAGACACATACGCTGTCATTCAATCATCTTTCATCTCATATGAAAAGAGTTCTCATGTCCGCCAAGAGGAAAAGAGATTATGCATGAAGCCCAAATATAAAACCATCAAACACAAGCCTGTCAATCTCAATTAAAGACGTGGATATCACTGTATGTCTGTCATCTTATCTGTCTCTGCCTATATTTATAAAATCACACAAAGACAGCATATAGTTAGTTCACTTTTCTTGTCCTCAATTACCATGGTGCTGTAATTATAGGAAGGCCTCCATGTGCAGCTGCGTCAGGAGGCCCTTATGCAGCACCATCAATCACCCCCTCGAAAACTCTGACTATATATCAATGGATCAGCACAAATTTAGTTCTACATGACTATTTTCTAAATTCTTTTGGACTATTGAGATTAAACATCATTTCAAAAGATCCTGGATAGTCCTTTTTCCATGACATGGCTCCTTTAAGAGCTGCAAAACAGCTTCCGAACATTTTATGGGAAATCATTTGGCACAAATCACTGCATTTCTCGTGAAGATTTCTTTTTATGCTTGATTGAAACGGTGATGTGTGTGAATTTCTGGCTTTCAGACTCGTACCTCAACAATCCAAATCCTTTTTTCTTTGTCTTTTTCTCAGGGTCTTCGGGCTCGTCCTTCTTTTTGCTCTTTTTCTCTTTCTTCTTTTTGGTTTTCTTTTTCTTTACCTTCTTCTCATCATCCAGATCCTGTCGAGAAGAGCTGCTGGCGGGCGTGTCTCTGCCGGAGTCTTCCTCAGAGTCATCTGTTGGTGAAGAACAAAGACCCAGACGTGAGCAAACACCTAATGAGATCTAATTATAAGGAATCAAACAACAATCCACAAAGCAGACCCCCGTTTGACAGTAAATGATGAAGAAATTCTTTCTTTACGGTATTTTTACTGTAAATCCAAATAGGCAGAAGTCATATGCATTAAAAAAAAATCTAACATTTTGAAAAGAAAACAAAATAATGACATAAAAGCAAATATTCAAAAATTCACAATTAAGAAAAAGTAGTCCTACATAGATAAATTAATGAGATAAAAAATTTAAATTAGAAATGCATTATTTTCAAAGTCCGTACACAATGTCATATTTCACCACAAAATAATAATAGACAAAAAAAAACTATAATAAAATAAATTACATTTACAACCATTAGGATTGTGTTTTTTTTTGCATAATATAAAGTATTACCCAATTTACAACCATCATAATGCAAAAAAAAATTACTGCAATGTGGGGAAAAAATACTATTTAATTATATAATTATTATTTAAAGATTATAGTTATCTTATTTACAATCTGTCGTTTTTATGTTAAGTATTTACACATTGTGGCAGTATTTATAAATTTTATTTGCAATGCTAAGCTGCAGCTAAAAGTGCTACCGCCAGACCCGGAGATCGGCTGAATGGATTCGAAAACGGTAAAAATCAATGGTTTAACTCTAGGGGAGTTGGAAAATGAGCCTATTTTCAAAAATAGTGGCGTGTTCCTTTAACGAACCAGCAAATATCATTTTCTTTTTGCAAAACATTAATTTTTTTATTTTTTTTATTTTATAACTTTACTTTACTTTGGGTGTGACATGTGGCCTGAACATTTATTTATTTATTTATTTATGTTATTCACCCTCCTGTTGCATCAAGTTGATATCCACAGACCTCCATTCATCCACCACCTCGGCTAAGGGTGCAGAAAGCTTGACATTAATTCATGACACCTTATAGGCTCTAATCGAAGGCATCTCTGGCTAGTGCTGAAGGTCTGTCTCTATTTCTCATTTAGAAGAGGTCTTTAGTGTCAATGAGAAAGAGCAGGGTTGATACGTGCCCTTGAATGTGCTGACTTGCTGCTGGAGGTTCACACAAAAATCAGTGATACTTGTATTTGCTGATTCACTCTTCACTGGTTCACGAAGCTCAATGAGTCACAGAGAGTCAAATTCATCTCTCAAATGAGCTACTAAAAGTGAAGGAGCTTCACTGGCACCCAACTGTTCTGAGATATCGCTCTGAACTTTAAAAGAGATTTAAAGTCAACATGAAACAGCATTTGCAACCTATTTTACTTCCATAATGTGACATTTCTTAAACTCAACAGGTATATGTATATGTGTGTGTATATATATATATATATATA